GCCTATGGTTGTAGCTCTACCCGCCCTATAGTTCAACGCAGACTCTACTAGATCACGTGCCCTTAAGGCACGTGGACTAACTGGGCGTTAAATAAAAACACACACACACACACACACACTTGTAGCTAGTTAAATTAAGGACTTTGTATGCTTTGTATCAGAATGTGAATTACCATCTAAAAAAAAATTAAAAATAAAATAAAATAAATAAATATTAAACTCAGAAAGTGTAGAATCATGTTTTGGGTGGATAAGCTCATCGGCTGTTACAATACGTAAGCGGAGGCGCAATCCATGGATCGATCCATTTAACTACTTATCGCCCAGCGATAGGCTGCATTTCAGGTAATCCAGAACCCGGACTTGCTCTCAAATACTTTTGCCAATTACTGCGATAGACAAAACCTCCTAGCACACTTTTCTGAAAGTTCCCTCTCTCACTCTCGATGCTTGTCATTTACTCCCACCTCGGTTTCACCCAAGTTCCTGCCCCCTTATATCAGTTCTATTGTATTGGGACACTAGATATACAGTTCCACGTATGATCGTTCATAACTGTAACATCTTTTGTTAGCGCCGCAGTTGCGCAAGCTTATTTTTCATGATGTCCATGTCCTCCTCCCTTCATTTCCAGCGATTGCTGTCCATAGTTGCTGCAACATTCATTGCCCTGGCGTGCGGAACCAATGTATGTTTATGCCAGCCTGTCCCATCAATGCGAAGAGCACCAGAACAGCTAACTTTTGAGACAGTACGTGTATTCAGCATGGGCACCTCAATTTGCCGAGAGGCTGAAACTGTCATCAACAGAGAGTAATTTGATTGTACTTTTCTCCCATGTCACGGCACCATCGGGGTTAAATTTTGCTAACCTCCTGTAGGGAACTGCGGGAAATCTGGGGATGTATCTAAGCGGAATTCCCGTGGGCCTTCTCATTGATTCGAAGGGACCAAGGCCTGGTGTTTTGATCGGGATGGTGTCACTTGGAGCGGGCTATTTTCTCATTCACCGAGGTACTCCATGTTCATTCCAGAGCATCTGCGCAAATGAAATTAACTGACTCGTTATTTAGCGTATGTTGCCGGCCAAGGCTCAATGGGAGTTCCCTTGATGTGTTCCTTCATGTTTCTCACTGGCCTGGGAAGTTCTGCTGGATTTTCTGGGGCCATCAAGACAGGTATGGCTTCAACGAGCTTCAGCTGATCGTAGTTCATCTAATCTAAACATACATATGTATAGCTACATCCAACTTCCCAGATCACCGTGGAACTGCAACCGCCTTTCCATTAGCTGCCTTTGGATTGAGTGCATTTTTCTTTTCAACGATTTCAGCAATCGCCTTTCCAGATAATCCAGGCCAATTTCTATTGCTCTTGTCGATTGGCACATCAACTATCTTGTTTGTGTGCTCCTTCTTTGTCCGGCTTATACCGTCTCCTCCGTGCACTTCTCTCGCCACCAGGGAGGCAGGTCTCCTTATCAGTTCGAGCAAACTTCATAGAACAAAATCCAGGGAGAGCCATCACAAGGGTTCCTCTGAATTAGGTAGGCTAAATGAAGCCTCTAACTCCCCAACCCCCCAAGGCACTGCAGCGGGATCTGCTGCGGGGCCATCAGAATCCGCAGACCCAAATCTAGAGCCGGATGAAACATTCTCTTTAATAGCTCGATCCCTTTCCCCAAGAAATTCCCATGATTCGTCCTGTGATGAACGCACATCAGTCAAATCCGGCCATAGCTCACATAATCCAGATATCCGTGGATGGGCAATGATCTCCACTCTGGAATTCTGGCAGCAGTTCATACTTCTAGGGCTTTTCACCGGAACTGGATTAATGACAATCAAGTTAGTATAAATCTTCTACCCTTAAAATCTACGACAGTATAGGCTAATACAAATAATTGCAGTAATATTGGTAACAATGTAAGGATCTATTTTCTCCTCAAGCTTCAATTCATTAACCGAACGATGTCTACAGGCCAATGCCCTATGGAACCATTACGACGATAGTGCAAGTCCCGAATTCATCCTATCACGACAGACGATGCATGTGTCTATCTTATCAATCCTCAGTTTTGTTGGACGCCTCTTGAGCGGTATGTTCATCCGTACTGCCGGTTCTCTTAGAGTAAAACTGATGAATTGTAAAATTTTCCAAATCTAGGTATCGGATCAGATCTACTTGTTAAAAAACTACACATGTCGCGTTACTGGTGTCTGTTCGTATCGGCAGATATTTTCTGCGCCGCACAACTCGCCGGATTTACAATATCAAACCCTCACTATCTGATCACCGTTTCAGGCTTGACCGGGCTTGCTTACGGCTTCCTGTTTGGCTTGTTCCCATCCCTGGTTTCCCACACCTTCGGTGTTGGAGGCATATCACAGAACTGGGGAGTGATGTGCCTTGCCCCTGTCATATGTGGAAACGTTTTCAACATTTTGTACGGCAGAATATACGATTCTCACTCCATCGTGTTGCCGGATGGCGATCGCGATTGCAGGGAAGGACTGAAATGCTACAGAACCTCCTATATAGTTACATTCTATGCTGGACTTGCAGGGGTTGCGATGACCCTCTGGACTATTTGGCATGAGAGGCGAACCGTTGGTCGTTTGGCGGGGAAGGGATTCCATGAACGAATTGCTTAAATGCTAAGGCTCCTTGGGCCGACATTTTCGGCCCTCTCAATCGTGAAATTTTCTGGGAAACGCATACCATTCTTTACCGGTATCCACAAAAGGTAACCGCACCTTTATATACGACAAGCCATTCCTCTTTTGTCTCCCGACATACTTCTGTCATCTAGAATTATATTTGCCCTCGCGACGGGGAATGTTGACATCTCTATCGCAGCCGACATGACCGTTTATTTATTTTTATTGCCGTTGATTCTACACCGCAGGCCCGGTCAGATCACTACTCCCGCCTGCCTCCGAACAGAGACATTGCTCTCGTTTAGATCGCACGTTTGCATTTACTTATACTTCTATATTTCTGAACTTAATCCTTTCTGCAGATAGAAAAGCTGGCGGACATAATTTGGCGTACTTCAATTCTTTTAGATTCGCGGAATAATTCGATCATTGAGGAATTTCAACTGGTGGCATCGATAGAATATATATATATTTGGATTGCATCTAAGGCAAAAGTTAAACTCGATGTTCAACGCCGTCGATACCATGTTTATCGCTAGTGGGGTACCTCATTTCATTCTCATTATTATACCAGTTGAAATGACAACAAGCTTCGATAAGGCAATACAAGGAGGCATTACGCGACTATAGTCTCATAGATCAACCCCTCGGAAAATTCGTTCGTATTAACCCCCTGTACGTGAGTTGGCTGAGGGTTGCTGTATTTTCTCCAGGGAGCAGTGAGAACGAAATAATTCGAAATAAAATTATATACGCAACAATGTATCGTTTTTCATAGGAGACAAGCTAACCTGTCTTTCTGTTTTCCATTTGGTCGTAGAGTTCAAGTTTCCAAGTTTCCTCCAGCCCTGCATACGGAGTACAACGGATAACTAACGATCGGCCCGAATTACGTTTGTTCGGCTCCTCCCCAGGCCTGACCCGCTCAACCAGCAAACTCAGCTCGTCGAGGTTGGATAACTCTCTCTTACTTCACCTCACCTCACCTCGCTCGCATTCCACTCCGTTCTTCTCCACATCCTCAACAGCTTCATGATTTTCTCCTTCATCCCTCGACAGTGCCGGCCACATGTCGACGATCATCGCGATTAAAAAGGCCGCTTGGATAAGATAGGGCAGATACAAGCCCACGATCTCTAAGGTGTTCTTGTTATAGAGCATCAGGAGCCAAGCCATCCCTCCTCCACATACTGCCAGCAGGATGTGGTCTCGGTATTGGATGTCTTGGTACCCGTGGTGTAGTATTGAGGATGTGAAGGCAAATATAACCCACGATATGGTGAACACTGTCGGAGAAGGCTGCTCGATGCATCGAAGGACCTGGATGTTCAAGAATACATCCTGTGATGTTTTTTCAACATGAGATTGATGATGGGTTGTTTTGGAATAGTTGACAGGCGTGCTGTGCTCACTTTTATTCCAACCACCAACTCGAGCAGTCCCTGCGACACCTCCACTTTTCCTTTTCCGTGATCTGGGTCGTAGTTCGATATGACCACAGCAGTGATGATGCCTACTACGGTCGTCATAGATGGACCAAGGGTCTGTGCAATGAAGTTTTGGGCGCTTCCCACAGCCCGATTGCACTTGCAGGATTTCCATGTTCTGAAGCTCATCTCCCAGCTTGTATTCAGATCGAAGGATTTAATTCCGTGCAGAAGATGGGCGATTTGACTCGATCGTTGGACATCTGAAGAATTACAGTATCGATAGACGTCGAGATGTTGGCTTGTTTCAAGGCTGCGATGTCTCTATGAACTATCGACCTGAAGTTGTACTCTCTTTGGCCCAGTATAACAATCCCAATTCCCCACATTTGGATTGAAAAGTCTGCTCGATCAATCCTCATGCCAAACAAGGCTGGATGAATTCAGCCTCGAGCACAAGGCTGCGAACTTTATTTCAACGAATGAAGACGTTGCCTACAATTTCGGAATGGAGATGCAAAGAGGCAAAGGGGGCGTTCATTTGAATTTCCCCTCCGTGATATATTATCCAGCCGGAATTTTTTTTTTTCTTTTTTAAAAAAAAAATTTTTTTTCGACGTTGGTTTATCTCTATCATCAAACCTCGCTGTGGCTACCCAGCCACGCATCCCATGTGTCTTTCCTCTTCCCTCCCTCTCCCAAAGCCCATGAACGTTCAAATAGAAATAGATCCCCTCACTCGTCTCCGGTATTGAAAATTCTTATTTGTGATTTCTATACCAATTCTCTCGAATTCATTCACCCGCTCTATCACACTGCCGAGAACTCCTCGAGAGGTCTCCACTAGGGTTTTTTTTATGTGAGATCAATCACGCTGGAAGCCAACAGGCCGAGGCACTCGCGTTCCTACGACATGTCTTTTTACCACCCAAATACCCACAACCACAAGCCATCATTGAACCCAATTCATTCCAAGCCTTCCCCTTTTCATATGTACCGCCAACCCGAAACTCAACCTATCTCAGAAGAACAATTGATAGACGAAGTACGACGAATCTACGCAGGCTTGGTGATGGTTGAGAAAAATTGTGTCGAAATCGATCAGCACACCAGGTGTATCAGTAAGCTCTCATCGCAACACTGGAAAGCTTTTCTTGCCCTCCACAGGACTCTTCTTCATGAGCATCATGATTTCTTTCTGGCATCACAACACCCTTCGGCCAGTCTGGTCCTGAAGAATCTTCCTTTCAAATATGCCATGACAGCGCGAATGTGGAGGCGTGGAATTCATTCATTCCTAGGGCTGTTGAGTCGCCGTCTCCCAAACTCCCCGGATCAGATGTTGTACTCCATTAATCCGGTATATTCCATTACCGGAGTGCCCATGGATGGAACACCTTCTATTGATGACGCCTGGATTGAATGTCTTGGTGATTTGGCTAGGTATCGAATGGCGGTTGAGGAAAAATGGATTAAGTGGTTTGGTGATCCAGTTAGGTATCGAATGGCTGTTGAGGACCCAAGGATTGAGTGCCTTGGTGATCTGGTCAGGTATAGAATGTCTGTTGAGATTCCTGGAATGGGTCACCGTGAAGATTCCCAAAATGTTGCAGCTGCAGTAGCTCAAAGGAGGTACAATATCGTTGCTATCCTTGCTCTCATCAATTTTCCCCAGCATCTGTTCTATTTCAAATCTCTAGCCAACATCTACATTCCCCGAAACAGTCTCTACACTTCCCTTATTACTTTCCTCGATGGTGTAGGACCCCACCACCGACAGACTCACATTCCTCTCCTCTCGACCGAAGCTGACTATTACCAGTGTCAACTTGGTGTCAAGTTCGATGGAAATGAGGCGGCTAGGTTGTCTCCTAAACTATTAATCCATGCGTCTGATCTAAGATCTAATTATTTATTCTACTCCATCGAAAGCTTTGATCTTGGAAATTACGTTGCTCAGCTTTTCACTCGTTTGCCACTTTTTCTGCCGTTTTCATTCGATGGAAGATGGTTCAAGGGCCATCAGCATGACTGGGTGGACTCCAGGAGCGCCGGGATCGTCTCCAGCAATACCAACTGGATTATTGATCAAGCGGTCCAACAGTTTTGCTGTAGCTTGAAGCTGTCATCCCTCTTAATCGTGTTGATATTTTCATCCTGCTGTTCCGCCTATCCCGCCAACCAGGCTGAGCATAAGGACACGAAACCCAATCCTAACGGTCTGAGTTCTGACGATGTTATTTTAATTGTGTTCGCCATCCTTTCCGTTCCTATATGCTTCCTTCTAGGGCAGCGGCGAGGACAGGCTCGTGCTTTTGGTACCTCTATGGTAGCCTTGAACATTGCCAACTTAATGACAGGCAGTGACCCTCTTATTTCCCCAGTTGGCCATTGGGTGTACGTATGAGTTTCCTCCTCACTATGGGATTTTCAGCACCAATTTTAACGCTCACTATAGGGCCCTTGGGCTTTCCTTCACCTTCACGGCTATCTTCGCTGGATTACTGGCGAAGCGATTTCCTCATATTACCCGCAGTTTTGCGTGAGGATACCCTTCCCTTCTCTTTCTGTCCTTTGCATTATCAGCGTAAACCTGCTAACATGGCAGTGTAGTCATACAATTGGATTTCTGACGGTGGTGTGGATTGTGAACTATTTGTTGAACCAGAGCTCTGGCTCCGGCGGCTCTGGTGGAGATCAATCGGATTCTTCATGTCACTTTCTTCTTTTCTCAATAGCTTTCACCCTGATCTGCTGGTGGAAGGTTGCGGATTCGTCAGCTCCACCTCCAATTTTAGAGGAAGGAAACATTCCAGGTTCTATTCCTCTCAGCATGATTAGACCCAGTCGAAATTAACTGGTGGTTATTACGGATTCGACCAATATTTTGAAAGAGTAGGTAGTCTATGATGATTCCCTTTAAATACGTATTGACTTGTTTTTCCTTTCATAAGACTTTCCTGTTTCTACGTTCATCTTGTCTCCTTGTTTTCAAAAGAACACAGTTTTCTAAAATAAAAATAACCTTCTTCACTTCAACGTTCCTCTTGTATTGGAAAGAGTGAGATATTATTATGGCAGTTGGAGTGCCGGTGGTGTGGCCGAGTTGATTAACTCGTGTTTGATTGACTACCATGCACGTACGCATGATTTGTAGGAAAAACTCTCTTGTCCTCCTAGCGGTGTTCCCACTGGCATTCTACCGACGTCAGAGTGACGATGTAGTAAATATACCCTAGACTAGATGCTATATTAAACAAGATGATGCTGTATATCCAACCATGCTGTGATTTTGCATACCAAATCTCTCCGTGAAAGAGAAAGGTGAAATGTTGGGCCGATGCAAAAATCCGCCGCAACTCTCGTCCTATCTTTACTTGTTTTGGTCATTCAAAAATTGCATACGACTGTGAATTTCCTCCGCATCATCAATAACCGTTAAAACCCTCTTCTCCCTCCCTGAGCACATCAAGAATAATGCTATTTGCCCCCTTAATTATGCCGGCTTCTATCTCAGGAACTGGGATCTGCTCGACCAGTCCGAATACAAAACAAGCCGGCCGCCATCTTCAAGATCGAGTTAGGCCTCTGCAAAGTTCCACAACGCAAACATGGGCCCACCTTTGAAGAATCACGCTTTCGAAATACGCGCTGCCAGCATGAATGTAGAAAATTGAAGTTTTCATTCATTTTCTAGAGCTTTTGGTTCCGCACACGATAATTGTCAGATGTTGGATATCCTTTGAGTGTCTCAGGCAGTCTTAGGGATTGTGTCTTTTGAGGCTCTACATATTTTGTTCAAGTTACATCACAACTGCACAATCAAATATTCAACAACATCGATAACTGAAATAGGGAATCACATAAATAAAATTGGAGTTAAATGCTTTCAGAAGAGAGGAAAGAAGATGAATGTGAAAGATGCGACAAGAAGGGAAAAGATTAAAAAGGAATATAAAAATATCACTAAATCACTGAGAAAGGTACAGTGGAAGAAGAGAATGTTTTTTCATCATAGGTGAAGCACATGTTCACTCAAGGAACCCCACCGTCTCAGCCAAATATAAAAGGGAGATGCTAATAATCCTTTCAAATGATTTTCCCCCCATTATTAAAATAATAATAGTAATAATGATAATAATAAAAGCACAGGCGAAAACGATCAGATATGTGTGTAAAGAGAAACAACTAATACACGGGAAATTATCCTCTTTCAGCATTATATAAGCTGGAGAGGGACTCGCTTTCCAGGGGTCAGAAAATGGCCCTCCACAGAGTCCAAGGATCAACCCAGTAATAGATATCTCAATGTGTGAAGATGTATTCCACATTGTGAGAAATGAGCTTCGAATCTTTAGACAGGCAAGCAAGTTATGTTGGAAGGGCAAAAAGAAATCCGCAGAGAGGAAGATATATTTCTCCTATCTTTGTCCTTCGCGTTTTCTATCTCTTTTTATTTTCTTTCGACGTGTTCAGATGATTCAGAAAATTGAGCAGAAGAGGGGGGTGAAGAGGTATATTGTACAAGAAGTAGGGAACTCATTCATATTTAAGAATATAGAGAGGTTCAGATGTGAGAGGACGAGAAATATGTGTTGTTTATGGAATATTTTTGGTTCTGTGGCGGGGGAGGAGAGGGGGCGGAGATGAGAGTGGGGAATGTCAGTTGGAGAGGGAAAATGATTCGAAGAAAGGTTATAAATATTAGAAAGTAGCAATGGAATAGATTACATATAAATAAATAAAGAAAGAATATAATGATGTAAGAAAAATAATAAAACAGTCAAAAATGGTAATTTTTTTTACGAATAGAGTCGTAAGGGTATCAAGCTCGAGAATTCTGAACCGAAAGGTAGGGGGTTGATCTGGGGGGAAAATAAGGATGTGTGTTATATGGTATCGTGTCGCGACAAAAATAGAAGATTGATCCAAGATCAACGGATACGAAACAAGGACTCGACCCGACTCTCCCCCTATTGCTAGAGAGATTGAGGGGATGTCTTGGTGGCTGAATCAGAGCTATAACCGACAACATCAGACAGGCGGATTTTTTTCGCATGCGGCTCAATACCCGCTGATGTACCACTCTGCAGTAAATCGCCGTGAATCAACGCGCGCTCGAGTTCGCCTATTCTGCGTTTCAGGCTCTCTTCGCGCCGCTGAGCCTCTTCCAGTGACTGGTTGAGGCGCGACTCGGAATCTCGAACGATCATCTCCGATCTCCTTGCGGCGGCGTCACTTTGTTCTAATTCCGCAACTCGGCCGCGGAACAGTTCGTTGATCAGCTCTAGTTCGCTAATACGCGTTTTTAGAGAGGTGTTTGCAGCTAGAAGACCTTCGTAGGTCTGCGGGGACTCTAGGTGGCGATCGTTTGCGGAGGAGGTTGAGCTGGGGGACGGATTGTGCATTTGAAGGGATGGGAGGGCAGTCGCGGACGGGTTGAAGGTGTGGTGGTGTGAGAGGGCGACGCTGTCGAACATGTGTTGAGGTTCGATGTTCAAATGGCGCTGGAAGTTTGGTGTATTGGTGCGGGATAACGGGGAATTGGACTGATCTGAAGGACCCGGGGAACCCCTTCGCGATACACGATGATGACCATGAGATCCTAGAGGAGGAGTACCGGCTTCGGATCTTGACGCAGCTAGGCCATTGACATCCACATTTGGCTACCAGAATACAAACTAAGCAACGCCTTCCAGCCTACGGGAAAGGAAATAATTTCACTGCAACAAAACGGCCTGGACAGGGATGAAGCTGGTTCAACTTACTTTTCGCTTTGGCCCCTGCCCGGAGGCTTTGACGCGATTCCGACTTTTGATAACGTCTGTTTTCAAGCTTATCGGACGAGGACGGCCATGGAGTTTGAGGAAGAGCCCACAGGCATTGCACAGCACCGATCCCGCTTCATCTCTCCTCCAGAGAGGCGTAGTGGAGGTGCCGCAATTTTGGCACACTGGCTGGATTGGCGCACGTTTCTGGTCAGTCATAGTGGTCACCATAGCGGAAGAGGCACACGCATCAGGGACAGTACTATGCAGGAGGAGAAGAGTGGAGGGGGATAGGGGCGAGGACAGAGAGGAGGCTGGCATTGGCAAAAGGAGATGAGATGGCTGTTGATAAGATTCGGCGAGATTTGATTCAAGCGATAAGATCGAGGGAAAAAAAAAAAATGGGTCGATGCCAAGACCCACGCTAGACTAAGCCTAAATGGGGCGGGAGACCTTGGGAGACGATAACAACCCGCAAGATGTACGCGGAAGTATATGTGGAGGAATAGAGGTACAATTGGAGGGGCGGGATGGAAAAAGAGCCCCAGAGACTGCACTTACTGGAGTGTTCCCTTGGCCCCCAGTGGTGACTCCCGGCGAAGAGTTCACGTAACTCATGGTCTGGCTTGCATTCTGGTTGCTGCAGCGGCTGTGACGGAAGAGCCACACCAGCACGTTACGTTAGCCCCTGCATGTATATCTGATTCCCATGTATCTGTAACTGCCCTATTGCAGTTTGGAAGAAGTTGCGTCTTTAATTGGTGTGGAGGGAGGACTTGGGTCGTCCAGCACCCAATGGCGTGGAGTCCAAGGACACCAAGCATCCGCTGCCAGTGTATCATGCGCATCCTCACACGTATCAAAGGCAAAACATACCGTAAATGTGATGTCGGGGCCGATGCGACTGATGCCAGCGCAGAGAGGCGAGTAAGAGAGGGTGAGAAATTAAGTGCCTTGTTGTCTCCGCTGCTGATTGGATGCTGAGAAGGCAAATATGTGTTCGACGACTGCGTTGATGTCGAGGAAGGCCGGGATAAATCACACACAGACAGCGGCAGGGAGGAGGAGGGTGAGGAAGAGGTTTCTGTCTGCAATGCAGTCGTAAAATTCGGCAGGCCTCGAGTTTGTAGTGGTGGGGTTTGATGCAGTGCCGGGTCGATAATGGGCGATGCCCCAAACGTGACGGGAGCCAGTGCGGAAGCCGTAATTAGAACTGGTTGAAGAGGCAGTTGAGGCCTCTTAAGAGAAGGGAAACGAGTGACGGAGAATGTTGGAATCTAAATGTTTAAACAACGTTGCGAGAGCATGGAAGATGAGCAATTAAAAACAGTCATTGTTAATGATGATAATATTTTGATTATTATTTTTTGCCCTATGAACGCCAGATCCTGACACCCTTTACTTCCACCCCGCGCTATGGCGAATGGGGCAGGTTTGTTATACGAACGAAATGGACCGAATCCCCGTGCAATGTTATAAACCAGCATAAAAAACTGGAAACAGGGGAACCAATCCAGCAGTTTTATTTCAGATTGATAAACAATCGTAATGTAATATGCCCAAAAGACGGAGTGCCTAGCGAATAGAAAAACTAACAATCCTCTTTTGCCCATCTATCCAAGTGATAAAAAAATTAAAAATAAATAAAAATAAAAATAAAAACCAGAATCCTGAGCTTGACGTAAATTTGTCCGATATATTAACAAGGAGACAGGAAATGTTACAACAGAATTATATAGTAATAATATCTTTTCCGCCAGAAAGCAGGCGGGAACTAAAGAAGGAGACAGATCAAAAAGAAGGATTTCAGCAACCCGGACAGTCCAACAGGACAATATTTCAACCTTCCACGCCTAAAATGCCCTCTAACTTAGTTAACCCGCTCACCAATCATGCTTAAAGTCAGCCGGGCAATACTTCTTCCAGGCATTATCATTATCTACGTCAGCAGCTGCAATCTCCTCGACCTGATCCTCAATGTCGTCGGGCAGCTTGTCCATCGCGCCGCTATCCTGCTCCATAAATAGTGCGTATTCCTTCAATTTCTCGCGCGTATATTTGATGGCCTCCTTGTAGAGATCCACAATGAACTCCTTGTGAGCGGCCTTGAATGAGAAATTTGCGCGCTTGGCATCGTCGTGATTGTCCATTGCCTCCCTAAAAGAAACAGTTAATCCAGTCCAGGTATGGCGAGTCTGGAGATAGCTTAGTTAGTCCGCTAGAGTAAAAATATACGTACAAGATGGCTTCGACACCCTTGATTGTTGCAACGAGGCCATTGCGGATGACGGGCTCGTTCATATATTTGCAAGTTGCGACAATGCGGGCAAGGCCACAGCTCCGTCGGTGGTGGGTAATAGTATCGCCTTGATGGGCACCCTTCTTGAACCAAGTAATCAGATTCTTTGGCTTCTTCCGGTCGGCAAACATCTGATCAATAGTTAGTATGGCTGTGCTGAAAGATACTGCACACAGAAGAAGCCAAACTCACGGCAAACTTGAGGTTATTCTGTTTCATTGGAAGAACGGCCATCCTCTCTTCCTCTGTGTAGATGGTGCCCATTTGCTGCATCAAGGCCATGATATATGTCTCTGGAGCACTGGCTTGGGGAGGATGTGGCATGTTGACTGGTTTGACTTTGAAGAACGAGTTAATTATGGCCGCGTCGCACGTACCACCAGCGTTGCCATTGTTGAACTTCTTTTGGAGGAAATCGAGATATCCTCGGATCCAGTTAGCTTCGTAGATATGCTCCGCTATATCGTTGTTAGTTCCCTATATCCAGCAAGATGGTCAAAAGCGTTGGGGAATGGTTCACTAACTGGCCCATTTTCTCTTGGTGTAGTCCCCGTCTGCGTTGTCAGTTTGCACAATAGCACGTTCATCCGCAGTATCGTCACCTTGTAAGATTGTGATGCTAGTGTCTGGCTCGCAGTCTTCCGAATTGTCGGGGCAAGGGACTTCAGGTACTATGATTGGAATCTTGACATTGTCCTTCAATTCCGTGGGGCCATGGTATTGCAGGACTGGAATTGTGTTGGCCTTTGAGGAGTCACAAAGGGCGTAATATTTACGATCGCCGGGAGCTTGTCGCGAGGCCAAGTCAAATCTGATATTTCTGATGGCAATCGCCCTGCCCCTCCTCTTCAGTTCACCTTCTTCATCATCTTTAGTTTTGTCGTAGTCCTCATCTGCCTCTTCCGCATAGCAGTACCCAGGAGACAGCTTGTCAACGGATAAGCAGATGCGTGGGAAAGTATAAAGGTCGTCCTTTTTGAAGAGGGTGACGTCGAACAGTTTATCCTTGTCACCATCAAGCTCTTTCCATCCTTCAAGTCCAAGGTCAACACCGACCTTGGCTTCGATTGAGACTCCAAAAATGCTTCCACCGGCCTTGCAGAAACCGTTGGTATCTGGCATTATATTCGTTAGACATGACCCCGCAAAACTCACATAAAGGGAAACATACCTAGACCGGCTCCCAGGGTTACAGTTACCTGGGGCACCTTGAAGGCAAGGTCAACACCGAAGCCATTGTCATCTGCAGAATAATGTCATCAGCGAATTTCCGGCGAGAACACAGGAGAAGGAAACATACCAAGAACCGTCAAGCTCACAGACAAGGCAATTTCCGTGTATAATCGTGCCTGGGCATCGATCTGTGCCTGGATTTCCAACGGCTGGGTTTCAATGGTTGGAGTCCACCCAGAAATCTGAACCTTATCTTTGGCTAGAAGATCCACCTTTGCAATAGAGGAATCTGGGATCCTGGCGACTATGCCTGCAGAGGCCGAGGCCTGGCCACCAATATAATCAATACCGTAACCAGCATTTAACTGAATCCGTGGGCCAAATTCAAAGATGCCAGGTATATTCCATCCTGACACCGGAATCTCTAGCAGGGTGATCTCCGCCTCTGGGGCTTTGCCTGTCAGTCCTCTCCAATCAACATGGCCAACAAAGTCGAGACCAAGATTGACACCAGCTTGAAGTCTCTCGGGTCTCACAGATATCTCAAACTTGTCGATATCAACTCCACCCAAGCCAAGACTTGCTTCAACGTGGCCGGCAAAAATCAGAGTTCCTTGTACTCCGCAGTCATTGCAGTTGGCAGTAAGCGTGGCATTAAGAACTCCCTTGTTCCTCTTCCATTCGAAGATCTTCGTGGGCAATGTGGCATCGACATTAAGGCGGAATTTCTTATCGAGATCAGGTATGATATCACGTTTACCTTTTCCTCCAAGAATAATTTCACCAAAATCCAAGACCCAGGTATTCATAACCTTTTTCCAGGTGCTCTTGACTGCAACGAGTTTGACTGACAGGGATTTATCGTCAAATGTAACCTTGCTGACCACCAAGGGATCATACGATTTGTCTTTGCCGCAACCCCTCCAGTCGGGGACTAATACGAAAGATCGCAGGTCATTGAAATTGACCCAGTTCCAAACAATTTTGGCAGCAGCATAGACCAGCGGATTTTTGAATTTCAGCGATGCTTGTTCCGGTTTGCAGTTGGCTGACTGGAGAGCAAAGGAGAACTTATCCATATCAAGAATACGTTCATTCTGTTTGGACCAGGCCACCATGCTGATAACAATGGCTTTGGAGTTGGGTTCTTCGTAAAGCAATTAGTCCATGATTCGGAATTGAAAAAGGAGCCGAATAGTTTACTATCAGTTGAAGCCCAGACAAACTTTTCGCTCTCGGACAGGTTAACCAAACTCTTTGGGTCATCGTCTCTTTTAGCTAAATGTTCTGGTTCCCAGACCTCACGCGGAACACGGATCAATTCGTTGGAATCGGGTATAGCCGCAGCTAGCTGTAGCAATAACCACAAAGTGGCAATGATGCGCACGAGCGGAGCCATGATGACCGAACTCGAAGCTCAGGGGGGGCAAGTCGGTAAGACAAGATGATAGTTTCAAAGGAAGGACAATGGGCGTCAGCAGCGCCGTGAGGGACTGTGTCCATTTAAGATGGCAGTCAAGTCCTCATTTTATATCTCTCGATATCTGGGTAGAAGAACTCTTTGCAGCTTCATCCCTATACTCTTGCAGGGGCGTTCTACAACCCCCAGGAGAGATGCTGCTGCGGCATTCGGGTCGTCCGGTTTGACCTCCCTGGAGGTAGCAGCCTGAGTTCGTATCAGGCCGTGTGAGAATGGTGAGCTCCATCTTGAGAACATCCGGTGACCTTTTTCCTGTGAAATTACATTCGACACTTGACAAAGATGTGAAGGAAAATACGAAGTTGTATCAGCCTCGGTATCCAGTGTCATTCCAAGAGGTGGCTTTAGGGTCCTGCATTGCGCTTGGAAGTGGATAAAGATGCAAGAGTACGAAGTTGCATCAGCTCCGCTGTCTTGTCATGAGTCTGAAGGACTCTAGCGCCATCGCTTCGCGGGGAGTGGGGAAAGTCGCTCTAGAACCCGGCAGAAGGGATGGTGTTCACGGAGAGGATACCAGCACCAAGTGCACAGTTCCATTTTCACTCAAAGCGGCTTTGAGACAAGGTACAGATGGAATGACTCGATGATTTCCCATCAAGGATGTCCCAGCATAGGTGAACATGCATGTAAGGAGAAGTCAGTGAGGCTGTCGTAGCCCCTGACCGCATATACTCTAGAAAAAGATGAATAATAATAAATATAATGTAACTTGAAATGGTTGAGATAGAGACAAATCTTCAGTGTGAAGATTGATAATCGGATTCTTGGCATCTGGCTGCTCTCTTCAGTGCACATACCAAACGTTGTGGTGGGAGCCTCCTGCCAAAAGGTCCCTGGTCCCGTATTCTCCAGCTTCACAGCAACGGTGTGAAGTGACACATGCAAGCTCAAGAATCTCGATTCCGGCGAATCGTGCGGCGTCCCCTGGGATAAAACAAGTCCAGCTCGAGAGAGACTCGGAGTACAGCTCCTGCCAAGCACGGCAGGATTGACATATGTGGAATCCCGGTAAGCGATGGCAAAACTGCTTGAACGCCGCCTTCATCACCAATTCCGGCGTATGAAACCAGGGGTCTGGGCGAAGACTGCCGGTTCCTGGTGAAGAGAGGAAGAAAAGAGTAAAGAAAACCCATCAACTCATTTTAAGCACCGAATGTCCTCTCCCTTCGTTCGTTGAGCATACCTCCTGTCACCGATACTACTCCACACCAGCAGTTTCTGATATTGGTCAGTTGTCAGTTGCACGCCTCGGGCAACACGGGCAACAAGGACACAAAATGGGGCTCTTGAGGCCCGTCGAACTGGGGTCCCGTCGAACTGGGGTCCCTTCGAACTGGGGTCCCTGGTCAAGGCTCTGTTTCAAGCTATTTCGGCCTCTACTTCAGTGGGTCAAAGTTTCAGTACGAAGTAGAGCTGGAGGCATGATCCATGTCTGAAAAAGCATGCATGGCATGAACTTGGGGACTGCGCAGACACGGGCCACCCTGGTCCCAGTAGACTGAGCCGTGAATTCGAGCGGAATTTCCACCCTCAACTTGGCTGAATCCCCCTTTTCCTATTCGCCATGGGTTGACAACAGCAATGGTAAAATTGGCAACCCGTTACGAGTCGCGGGTAGTCAAAGAAACAGATTCCCCAGGCCATGTGGTGGCAAGTCAAGATGCTTACAGTGCGTGCAAAAAGTCAGGCCTGAGTTCAAATGGAGGTACGCAGTATATTTACCTTATTATATTTCGGCAACCACTGGTCGGCGTACATGAACAGAGCGACTGTTGAGTCCTTGATAATTTCCTGAGTTTGAGAGTACGACCCGGCCAGACATGGGGTGTGGGCCTGTTGGCATTAAGTAAATTAGCCAAGGGGAGACGAAAATGGGGGAATCCACAGTTTGGAGCAACCATTCAAATGGAATTTGGCACTACCAAACCTCCAATTAGGAACGAAAGTTTTCGTACAATTTTGGCGGAATACTAGCACGCCAAAATCGGGAGCTAAAAGGCACGTTGAAAACTCTTCTCAGCAGTTCATTATCAAAGTTGTGGTCCACATCCTGCAACCGGAGACTTGAGGGTTGATGTGCAGATAATTTGTGATGCGAAGTAGGATCGTCTCTGCTTGGCTCCGGCAAGCCGGGGATTTGTCTTAACTGAATCTGGGCAATGAGCCCTAGCGCGCTGGCTTGGGGAGATTGAAGAGATGAAATGATTGAATAATAAATGAGGGCGACCGCAAAACAGCACCTAGTTACGGAGTATCATATGTTCTTGTAGAAAAGGCATCCCTGTCGGAAATTGCCGTCTTACCGCATACCTTGTGTTAATAGAGATGGTGAAGGTGAAGCTTGCTGTAGTTATGGTAGTAAGATAACTTGCCTGTTCCAAGACCTGAAGGAAGATCATCGAAGAAATGTCCGGAAGAATCACAATCACAATGCACCATAGCTACAACATCCCGCCCTCAAAGTTGTCTTCTGCCTTCCATCAATCAAATATCTGGCTCGGCTTCTCATACTTTCCTGGTGACCCGCTGTTATGGGGCAACTTTGAACAGGCCCCGGTCTGGAAGTGAAAATCTCATGATCCATGGCTTCCAAGGAATTGTCGATGTCGAGCGGAAAAGGAGGGAGTACATATATGCTGCAGCATCTTTTTGCTGTGAGTACTTACTTTACTCTCTCGTGGAATGCGGTGGGTGGTGAAGCCCATCCAATCGCTTCTCTGATAACTATGAAAGTCAAAAAGAAAAGGGCGCCCAAGAACAGTCTGAGCATGATATAAATATGCAGAAAACTGCACTCGGGATCCTTCATGCCCACTCCCCCGCCCTTCCCGTCCACCTTATCCCCTCTTTTCACGTCTACTCCGTCAAGTACGGTGTAACTGTCATTGAGGATGGAATGGCGGACGCCCAGAGCACGCTCTTCGCTGCTAGTTAAGAGATTGTGGGGGCAAAAAAAAAAAAGAGCCTCTTTAAGATAGTTTCGACATTATTTATTTATATTTATTTTGGTATGTAATTATGTGAGATGCCAGGATGCCCTTCCCAACTGCGTACGCAGTCTGCGACTGTTGCTTAGACATGTATGGGTTGTTCTCATACTGCCCTCCCACATACTCGTACAAGCAGTATATACATCCCTTAAGACACATTATATTATTTATATATTGGAACAAGTGATTCTATTAAAATCTCTCTGGCTTTAATATCTAAATAACTTCAATCCCTAGCTATGTCTGTGGGCTTACAAGCCCATTTGACTGTGAGACATTTGAGCCATGTGTGTGATGTACGTGTGAGAGTTACAAGTTGTTTGAAATGTCCGCCTAGTTTGCTGTTTTGCGAAACTGTTGGTTCGTCTTCAAGTTGCCACAGGAGGCGTGCCGACTTGGACTGGAACGGCTTGCACCGCTTCCCTGACGACAACAACCTGCTTATTTGCGTATAACGGAAATCTCGACGTTCATTCTAAGGTTGCTAACCCTGCCCAGTGAAGCAGGGAGATCAAGGATGGCAGGCTTGCCCGGTCGCCTGGCTCCTGGTTCTATCAAACCAACAAGGGAGAGCACATCAAGGCCGTAGTCACGCTGGTCCTGCGCCCTGCAAATGTCGGACACATTCTAGGCAGTTCCCCAGAGTTGAGTATCACCATAGCATTATATTTGTTCGTATTAACAACACCATCACAAACATTGGAAACAATAAGGTCACACTTTATGACTCGGACCCTTGTCGCTCCTTGCAGCCGTCATGTTCGATCTGATAGCACGACATGTTTTCCAAGAAGTTCACCCACCACCTCCTGATAACCCAGAAGTCCAAAGAGAAATAGTGGCAGGCATATAGAGTGATTGGAACACTCAAGACAAAAAACCACCAACACCTCACGGCGTTCACACCACGTTCTGCCCGAGGAGATCAATGTTCGTAGAGTGGAGCTAAAGGGAAGAGAAATGAACAGCGTCGCAAACAGTGTCAGGTTCTTGAGTCGCTTGGACAGCTTAACAGCTTTGTGGGATTAGTTTCCAATCGTGGCTTTGTTCATTGCTAGAGTTATTTTCCCCCAAGTGCTAATTTCGAACAAGTCCGATGCAGCGACCATGGAGTTATTCATAGTCTTCCAAAGGACCATCTGCGGTAAAAATACCATTAGAACTCTTTCTATCTAATGCCTCTCACTGGATCTGCCTTTAAGGTCTGCTGGTGGATGCTCATGCCGAAACCTGGTCACACAGCAACCATCAGCACTCGGGTTTTCTGCCTTGGCTCCATTCAATCCTTGGCCACCGCTCGGCCCAGATTGCAGAGCCCACGAACACTACCTCTCAGACGCCGCACGGATCGGCGGAAATTGCTGGAGACGTATTGTACAGTTCTCAATAAATCAGCTAAAACTTCTAGTTTTCAGACTAGATTGACAAGAGCAATCAATGAATCATATGCAAGGGAAGGATAGGAGAGTTTTGCGGAACTTCTGCTAAAGAATTCATATTTGAATCTAGATAATTTGTTGTGGTTCAAAATGCTGTCTTGCAGAGATCTTGGAGAAAGGGTTACCGTGTAGCCGGAGAAATTCCCAAGGGTCTTCCCATGGCCCTGCAGCCAATAACTAAAATTGCGTATAAATATTGTTCTCGTGATATATAGCACTGTCTCTGCCAGTCCAGCCTCGATCTGTTTTTGTGATATAGGCGGATATTGATTTTCGACCACAGAAGCACGAGCATACAGTGAAGTTCTCATGTACCAAGAATTCACCGCAGCAGACTCTTGTTGACTGAAGCTGCCCGATGTTGTTTGTTCCGAGCTCTGCGGATTGTTCGGACGCGGATGCAGAGAGGGTACCATTTTGTTTTGGCAGCCGATTAAGAAAAATAAGATTATGTAGCGTCCAGATATCGATATCATGTTTTCCCGGAAGCAGGAGGTCCTCGAATATCTTCTGGATAACGAGGTGGTTGCTCGGGCGTAATTTTCGGGCGTAACTGTAAAAGTCAACGCTTCAGTTAGGCGATGGATTCCGGACAGATGGTACGAATGCGGCTGCTATACGGCTGTTAGGGGGGGAACTGGATTCAAGGTTTGATGCCGAGATCGCCTTGAAGGACTCAGCATTTCATTTGAATAGAAGTGTTCGTCAATCCTGAGATTGTACAGCTGCTTTTTCTGAAAGATAAATCTCAAGTTCACAAACATGAAAATTTTCAGACCATCGTGAAGTTTACCTGTTCCTTTTGTTCACTGTCCTGCTCCGTGCTATTCTTTCTGGTGTCCTTATTCCACTGTCATCGTGGATATCATAAATCTGAAAATAAGGAAGGGTTTGAGAAAGCCTAAGCGTGAGTGAATAGCCCCTGTAAAAGTCATTTTAATTGGATATCGTAATGTTTAACTAGTGTCTGAGTCAAGGCTCAGACTGTGGAATCTGTAGTTTGAGGTAACTAGGATTCAATCAGCCTATCTACGGCTCATCACTTGTGAGGTTGATTTGGCCATTGTCCCCAGTAGAGTTGTTCATATCATGAACATGATAGCGTTTTGAACAAATTCCGTTGCTGAGGAAATGTAGTGTCGACAACAACAACAACCAACCATAACTAGTTAGTTAACTAACTTAAGGACTTTGCATCAAATGGCCAAATTGCCACGAAATCACATGACTTTAAATGAATTAAACCAACCCTGTATTAACTATTTACTGTTTCTGGGCACACGCCGCGATGAGCCAAAACAACAGTGACATTGCTATCACCAAGGCTCCTCTTCACTCTGAAAAGAAGAGAGCCCGCGCAATCTCCTCTGCTCCACTAAAACCCCTGGATGATCCCCCCCAGCCCCAAAACATGTCCCAGGACGCGTTGGACACTACAACACCCACCACAGCTCAACTACATCAAATCAATATCAGCTTTAATCCCCACCCAGCCCTCTCACCAGGAGGAGAATCCATTGAGAATGTGACTGACTGCACTCAAGCAGTCCTGCTAACTGTGAAGAACTTCTCTTCCATAGTGAATTATAAGCTCAATGCTCTGTTGAGTCATGCAAACAACTTCTTCTCTGCAGAGCTAGCTGCAGTGCTTGAGCTATGCAATGAGCTATCTGCAGTACTGGACCTGATACTCTGCACTTACAAGAACTCTCTACCATGCCAGACTGTCATACTAAGGCAAGCCATGGGACATGGCATAGTCAAAGTCATTAAAGACCTCACTGCTTAATCAAAGTCTATGTTGACATATGCTATCACTATGACAGCTAAGATGATTCTCTCAAACAATTTCTCTCAGACTGTTTCAGTGATGAGACAATCTCACAAAAAGCAGATACAGCAGATCAACTGTTCTCTGCATCAAGAATAAAAAGACAAACAAGTCATGATTAGACTATTTGTAGCATATACTGCTCATGATTTAGACTCTCAAGCTATTCATGAACAAGTACATGTCATGATTTCTGATCTGATCTGAATCACTGATATATGACACTACTTATTGAGAATTACTGTGACTGTTTTCTCTTCAGCAAAGACAGTCTTCATTTTTAAACATGCAGATAAATTGAAAGCTGCTGTAAATGACTATCTTATTAAGTGATAAAAATTCTGAATCATCTTTGTAGTTGATTCAATCAAGAATTTGACATACAGCTTCAATGAACAAAATATCATTTAGAATGCTTCTTTCTGAGATTCAAGACATCACTTATCAGACTTCAATCATCTGTTGTCACTGGACAAAGAAGTTCACAGATCTTAATCTACATGAAAAATATGTCTGAATTGAAGTACAAATCTCTGAAGTGCATCTCTTTTTAAACAAACTTTATTTTTTCAGTCATCTGATGATGATTAACAAAATTAAGAAATTATCAAAGATCTTAATTTGCACAAAATGTCATGACTTTCATACAGAAAGAAACTGTGTGCAGTTTCTATGTTGTGAGAAGTGCAGCAGTCTCACACAGTCAGACAGATGTCAAATATCAGCTCACTGCTGCAATTGTCTTAATTCTCATCTCACTCTCAGCACTGACTGTTCAGCAAGATTCAAAATAGTGTCTGAATGTATAAAATGCATCTTCTGCTATTAGCTTCACTCAATATGTGAAGCTGACAGAAGAGCATTCATCTCAGCTCATCAAATTTCAGCAAAGAAGAGCAATTCAGAGCTAAACTCTAAAAACTTCATCTCATTTCCTCTCTCAGCTCTGCTGATATCAGTCACTAGCTTTCAGAGCAATCAGACAGACTCAATGATCTGCTTTCAAACAAACATCAAGATTACATCAAGTATGAATCTTTACTAATGAAAAGCAGTCACAATTTTTCTCACAAATCTACACTTACTATATATCAAATCAATATAGAAAGACAGTCAAACTCTCATGACATCACTCTCTC